TCTTGTGGTGTCCTTGACCCCTCTGTCTCCTACAATCCTTCCTTCCACTCTTCCGTGGCATTCCCCGAGTTCTGCCTAATGTTTGGCTGTGGGTCTTTGCATCTGCTCCTTAAGATATAACTTCTAAAACTTATGTATATGATCTTGTAAATACATAAAACCACACTGTTGTTACTGATAGAAAAAAGCTCAAATCATTAAAAAAAAAAAGAACTTTTGAAAACTGAGGATAGTTTATATTAACTATAAGTCTGTTTAATAACTGTAAGGAAACAAAAAATTGGAGATGCATTCTTTGAGAGAATGCATTTTTTTTATATAAGTAAAATGGTGCTTTTTCATTTGTTACTAGTAAGGTATTGTACACATCTAAACTTCTCCTGCATAACCCATTCAAGTAACTTAAAATGTTTGCACTCTCAAATCTCACTCTCACATTTTACGCAAAACTAAAGACAAAATTGGGCAGCCTCAACTTTAAAAGGATTTATAAAAATATATTTGATTCATTGTGACTTTTTCACCATTTGGATTGTCTTTATATAAAAATCTGGATGAAAGAATAGTGAGAATAAATCAACACTGGCCTAGAGGCCACTTACATTTTGATTTTAAACTTGACATAGAAAGCAATGTTAGACTTGAACTGAAACGTTGTACCGTTTTAGAGCTCCTGGGCAGCTTCAATCTAAGTCAACTGATAAATATTAACCATGTATTATGAGTCCAGCGTTGAACTGGAACACAGAGATGAACTCAATGTGGCTGTCGATGCTGGGGGGCGGGCGGGAGTTTTGTATAATTTAATACCAGTCCCTGAATAGACAGGGAAAGAAATTAACAGCCCTGAGAGACGTAGTAGCTTTACCACAGTTGGCAGATAAGCAGCAGGGCCAAGATGAGAACGTTTCTAGTTTGGTATTTCTTGCATAGCTTTACAGTCCCTGCTCCAAAGTTTTACAAAAGATAACAGTTTTTCTATTGGCTGGAACTCTTGTGCCTGGGCTGTCCCAACAAAGCAGGTCGGGAACATTTCCACGAGAGTCAGCATCTCAAAATAGCTGCTGGTCACTGCAGCTTTGTTCCCAACTCGGGAAGAATGAAAGAAATTCTAATTATACAACTGGCAATGGACAAATAGTCCCTCTCAACACACGTTCGAGTGCTTGCCATGTGCCTGGCTGCGTGGTATACCCTAGGAATATAAAGTAGACCCCAGACAGTCCTTATCCTCAAGAAACTAATGATCTAGTGGAGGAAATAAACCCGAGAAGCAATATTTTAGTAACAGGTCTCAGCTCAAGCCAGTGCCTAAGGAAACACATTCAAATTCTCCTTCTAAAATAAGTATTTTTTAATTGCTTTTTATTTGAAAATGCTCTGACCACGGTATAAACATTTCCAATCCCAAACGCGATACTCCTTCAAGAAGTCTCTGTGGTTGGAATATGCAAATGGAAAGCAGGGCTCATGCTCTGAGCCCAAACCTCAATGCAGAGGAACTGTAGTTTTAGGAAAGCAGCCATTCCTTCATTCACTGGTGCTTAAATGGCCAGAGACAAAAGCCCCACCTCCCCCACCAAGTTTACCCTGGAGATTTTTAGATGAGGCCCCATGGAAGAAAACTAAGAGAGAAAGAGGGAAAGGGAGTGGAGGGAGAGAAGAGAGAGACCATGAGCGAACTAGCTGATTTGTAAGCTTCTCATTCCGGACCACCTGCAGGCATAGGAAGAGAAGGAAAGAGCCCATATCTCTGAAATGTCACCCGTGGGAATCTCACCCATTGAATAGGGGCAAATTGGTGACTTCAGACCTACACAGCTCTTCCTCACTACCCTGGTGCAATTGTGTTAGTTGTTATTCCAATATGCTTTTTCCTTCTTGATACCAAGTGACACTCTTGGGGAAAAAATTTTGACTTTAACTTTCTTTATGACATTTTTCTCTTCTAATGTTATCAGATTTAAATGATTGACTTTCAATAATGGTGTGAATCATTATTTTAAATATAAATCCTACATCTGTTATTCGCAAGTCAAGAATGTGTGTCTAACCTTGGAAATGCAGTCAAAAAGGATGTCTATTCTTATTAGCGATCCCGACTCAACAGAGATGCTGGACACCCCTGCAGAGCTTTACTTACTCTGGGATGGTTCACAAGAAGGGACAATATTTTGGATAAATATATACCTTCAATTCTACTGTCAATCCACTGTTATTTTAAAAATTCCTTTGCCCTGTTTGTCTCCACATTACACAAAAAATGGAGAGCCTAACAGAACATGATGAGTATCTCATGAGGAAACACACAGACAGGAAAAGCAGCAATCTTATCTTTCCATAAATATGATCTCAGCAATCCATAATACACTATGTTTGCTTTCTTAGCTTATCGCTCGTAGTGACATCGGGCATGTATGTTTTTGTAAGTCAAACTTCAATGGTGGTTCCATGAAAAAATAACATTTTTATTCTGTCATGAAAAAAAATTACATTTAGCCACCCCCTCCAGATTATAATTGCTAGGAAAGTTTATCTTTTGATTTGGTTACTCAATTCAGTTTTATACAAATCAATTGTGTACTTTTATGTGTTGGGCCCTATGCCAGGTGCTGGGAATACAAAGATATCAAAAACATGGTTCCTGCTCCCTATAATTCACAGTGTGTAAGAGTGCATGCACTTTGCTAGCTTTGATAACATATTGAAAGATGCTCATAGGAACAACAGGACCACAGTGCTGAAGGACAGAGAACGGAAGCATAATTCAAAAAATTTATTATATTTTCATATATATATATACACACATGTGTGTGTGAGGCATGAAGTATCTACAAAGTATCTAATGGATGAAAATAGATACCCACCAATCAAATAATCAAGTTTCAGAGGGAAATGGAAAGCTTTAGGAGAAAAAAAGTGGCCAGATTTACAGGATAAAGGTACAACTTTGAACTTGTCACTTGTCTGCAACAAACAAGAAGCCAGCCAGACTCCACCGTGGAAATGCCTTCACCATCCCCCCAAAATTGGTTGTCAATATAGAATGATTTTCTCTAGCCAACTGTGGCAGTGGAATAAAGATATTTTAAATAGTTTCAAAACTTTAGCTTCGTCTGCCTTTCTAGGGAGGTTATCATCCGAAGGGATTCACAAAAACTGGAGGGTAGATAGAGAGTGGAGAGCCATTCAACCTGAGGAGCAGGTCTCTGTGATGCCCATGGGTACAACAGACACTGGAGGCTGTAAGGGCAACAATATGAAGAGCTGCTCCCCTCCAACCCTGCTATTTCACTTAGGGTATAATATGCTTCGGGGCTTGGAGAGATGGTTCATCTTGCTGAGGACCTGAATCTGATTCCCAGAACCCAGGTGGGATGACTCACAATTGTCTGTAACTCTAGCTCCAAGAGAATCTGCTACCCCTGGACACTACATGTCTCTACATTCACATGCACAAATACACACACACACACACACACACACACACACACACACACACACACACACGGGCGGCGGTGGGGGAGTGTAGGACAGACAAAGCTAGACATGTTTGTGATATAAAGTTAACACATCCAGCTTGAAAGAAGACTGACTAGCCATCAGGACGCTGAATTTGGGAGGACTGAATTTGTTAAATGATCTGAGTGCCAATGATCCCATGTATTATTCCAAGGATGTAATTCTTGATAAAGAGCTAGGTGGTATCTGTAGTTTCTAGATATCCCAGTAACTTTTATGCAGTTTAAAGAAAATGTGAAAATGTCTAATTCAATGGGTGCTGGAGAGGTAACTATAAATATATTTCTTTCTCAAAAGCCTGAAGAGTTTGTCCATTTACATAGTGCTAATTTATGAAATAGCAAGAAGATAAACCATTTGTATGCAAGAAGCAAAACTGTTTAAGTTAGTCTAGGAACTTATCCTATATACTTGTGGATCATCAGAAAAGGGGTCATAAATATGAAATAAAAAATTATATATAAAAAAATCTTCCCAGTGGCACTTCCTGGTGCCCAGATTGTGTCTATTGAATCCTCCTCTAGAGGAACCAGGTTTCTTTAAGGAAATGGATGGTTCCAAGTGTGAGGCAGTTAGGTAAAAATAGCAGCTGTGCTACCTTGTGCCAGCAAACCAAGCAAGAAAATGCACAGACATTGGAACCAGCTTCAAGCAGTTTCCACTGACCATTTTCGGAACAAATTAAGTATCTGTAAAGAACAGATGAATGATCATAAAACATTTACTAAATAAAATTCCATGAGTTCTGAAGGAAGAAGGAGAGAGAGGGAGAGAAAGAGAGAGGGAGAGAAAGAGAGAGGGAGAGAAAGAGAGAGGGAGAGGGAGGGGGGGAGAGGGAGAGGGGGAGGGAGAGGAAGAGAGGGGAAGGGAGAAAGAAGGGAAGGGAGAAAGAGGGAACATGAATTTATATCCAAATCTTATTCTGAAAAATAAGAAAAACAACTTTTAATCATGTCATCTTGGAAAGAACTGTTAAAACCAGTTATCTTCTGGAATCAATGAATCTGGCAAAGATTATCAATAGGGGCCGGGCGGTGGTGGCGCACGCCTTTAGTCCCAGCACTCGGGAGGCAGAGCCAGGCAGATCTCTGTGAGTTCGAGGCCAGCCTGGGCTACCAAGTGAGTCCCAGGAAAGGCGCAAAGCTACACAGAGAAACCCTGTCTCGAAAAACCAAAAAAAAAAAAAAAAAGATTATCAATAGGAGGCAAAATCTTTGGTGGGGAAGATGATTGGGGGAAGTGTGTATGACGTCACCCCAGAGATTATCTGTTAATAGCCAAGGGGGGAAAATCTTCCCTTTCCAATGGAGATAGCCTACCACTTAAGATAGTGATTAAAACCAGTGTCACCGGCAAACACTCCCCATAGCTTGTGGCTGCTAGTGTAGCCATTCCATCACAACGTCAGTGTGGTAGTGTTCATGCCCCAAACTGTGAACTTAATCTAACCAGACTCTTCTCTGATCCTGAATTTACAGGAAGAAGGAGGATGAAACAAACGAACAAACAAACACCACAAAAGAACGAGCCGTGTGACACCAGGAGGAGACAGCGGAAGAGCGACTCTGATTTCGACAGGAAAAGGCAATTTAAATTGAGAGACATTGTGGCCTACCTATTGGGCACTCCTTTTATGAATAAAGAAAAAGAGAGAGGGTTCTTGACTTAATATGGACATTCTGGTTGCTTGATTCCACTGATCTCTTTGGTTGCTGGCTGCACTAAACTCTCAACAAATGTGTATTCTCTTTGAATCTCTAGTGTTGATTTAGGAAAAAAAAAGTTCTTTTCTACACTCCTAACTGTATCATTGTTGATGCTGTTCCATAGCTATGGCACTTCGGGCTTCAGCAGATGACCTTAGAATCACTCTTCGTAAGTTTTATCTAAGTTGAAGCAGAAGAGAGAAGCATGTGAGTCATTCCTTGCTGGTAGAGTGGACAGCTCATCCCCTGCCGGCTTTCCTGGTATTAGAAGAGAAAGTTGGGTGGGTGGCAGGGCAGCTGTGTCCTGTTTCTGAGAGAGGGGAGTCTTCAGGCTCACCCCATTGGAGATGGTCGCCTGGCAACATGGCTGTGAGGAGACTGACCTGCTTTTTACCACTGATGACTCCACCCTTGAGGCTCCTGAAATACCCCTTAGTTTTCCCCCACTTTTCAAACCTTATCATTTTCTTCCCTTATTGGTTGGCACAATTACTCCTGTTAGATAATAACTAGATTTTCTTGTAGAGTTTGAAGAAGTCCACTTTGCCACGTTCTGGCAAATACTAGATAGATAGCCTGTCTAGCCTTTGTAGTGGGTAGAGTAGCTAGTAAGAGCTAGAGTTTAAAAGTGGTAATTTTCTTGTATTGGTGAGTAGAGCACTTCATTTATTTTTTAAAAAATAGTTTATTTATTTTTACTTTATGTGCATTGGTGTTTTGCCTGCATGTGTGAGGGTGTTGGATCTTGGAGTTTCAGACAGTTGTGAGCTGCCATGTGGGTACTGGGAATTGAACTCAGGACTTCTGGTCAGTGCTCTTAACTGCTGAGCCATCTCTCCAGCCCAATAGAGCACTTTATAATCCCGTAATAGCTTGCTCTCTTGATCTAGGCCAGTGCTTCTCAAGGTGTTGTTTCTACATAAGAATCACTTGGAAACTGGTCAACAATGCAAGTTTGGAGTTGCCAACAACCAACTTTCTGAACAAAAATTTGGGAATGGAGCTTAGGCATCTAATTCAAAAACCATCCGGGTGATTCCTTTTGCACATGAATATTCTGGAAACACTCTTAGCAGCAAGGGTTCCCAAATTCCTTTATTGAGTTTCTGGGGACCATGATACACAGGGTAGTAAAAAAACAGCCCTTTAGGATGGGTGTAGAATGCCTAGGGAGAGGAGTTTCCAGAGAACAGTGTTACAGTCATTCTGGCAGCCTGTCTCCCCTTCTGCTGCAAGTCCCTGTGTTAAAGTTTGTAGCTAAAAGACTGTGACATCAACCAACGGTAGGAAGATAAGTATGATCCAGCTACAGAGAAGAACGGTATCTTAGTGGAGTGGTGGTGGCTCACACCTTTAATCCCAGCACTCTGGAGGCAGAGGCAGGCAGATCTCAATGAGTTCGAGGCCAGCCTGGTCTACAGAGCGAGTTCCAGGACAACTAGGGCTGTTACACAGAGAAACCCTGTCTCGAAAAACCAAACACTGACACAAAAAGAATGGTGTTGCGTACTTGTAGTCAAAAGGATGGAAAGTGGAATGAACCAGATACAGAAAGAATAGCACTGTACACGCCTTTTATGTAGAAACTAAAAAAATGGTTTATTTGAAAGGAAAACAGAGAGGGATTACTAGGAACTGAAGAGTGTAGGTCATTGGGGAAGCATGGAAGAGTAGATGAGCATGTATGGTAATATCATAGTGAGTCCAGCAACTTGTTCAGCTAATATGCATTAATAATAATTGTTAAAAAAAAGAGTGTGTGAATCACATGAACCAAAGGAGGCAGAACTGACATGCATTTATAGAAAAGAATAGCAGTCCCTGGGATGCTTGACGACAGCATGTTTTTACACTCAAGAGTATAAAAAAGGAAGCCTTCTATTTTCATATTCAGAATAAAGAGTTAATAAAGAACATTGGGAAATGGCCTGAGAGAGGGGAAGGGGACTGAGACGATCTATTCTGAAGGGAAAATTTGTCGTGCACCGTTTGCATAAACAGCATTATCTGCCCTTAGCTTGTTGACTCAGCTGGTTGGAATTCCATGTCACAGACTGGGTTTCCTACAGAGAATGGAGAAATTATCCTTATTCTTATGGTGCATCCACAGTGTGTAGTCTTCCTATATCACAGCCTACTGTATCACTTCTAGATGGAAGAGGAAGGAGGGGAAAGATTGAGCATCATTTCTCATTTATCAATAGCTACTCCTGAGCAATAAATAATAAGCAACAAATGAACAACAAATAATAAATTTTCTACAGGTTTTTTCCCCTGAAGTTTTCATTGGTGAAGAGATTTTTTAAAAATATTCAAATTGGCCGGGCGGGTGGTGGCGCACGCCTTTAATCCCAGCACTCGGGAGGCAGAGCCAGGCGGATCTCTATGAGTTCGAGGCCAGCGTGGGCTACCAAGTGAGTTCCAGGAAAGGCGCAAAGCTACACAGAGAAACCCTGTCTCGAAAAACAAAACAACAAAAAAAAAATTCAAATTGAATAAAGAACATAGTAATATTTTTCTTGCTTCATATTTTTGAGACAGTCTCCTGTAGCCCAGGATGGCCTTGAGCATGTATTTAAGGATGATATTAAACTTCTGATACCCCCACCCGCCCTCAGAACGTAATTCCTTGAGGAAAGCTGATAGTGTACACTTGTAGAAAGATGATAATTTCAACATTAAAAAACATGTAGAGTGGTTTCTTGGTAAAATTGCTTCATTAAATATTTATATCAACATATAAGCATATTAAGCAGGTCTGGAAGATACTTTTAAAACTCTGGAGTTAATCTGTTACATCCTTAAGTAGACACAAATTAAAAATCCTTTAAAATATAGCAGGCTGTGTTCACTAACACTCACTAGGGATGTGTCAATGCGTCCCTGAAGGGCCTTTCCTAGCTCAGGCAGTTACCCCTAGGTAAAACTTTAACAGAGTGGTCCATTTCTCAGCAGACTGCTTTGTGAAGTTTCTGAGTATTAAATGATTTAAAAAGAACACATGCCAGAATCATCACAAGCTACTTTCTCTCCTCCGTCTATTTGAATCAATAGGAAAAGTTTATAGAAGACATAATAAAGCACTATCAGCAGAAATGAAGGCATGTTCTCTTTATATTTCACCACGTTTTAACATGAAATATGTCTCCTCCATTGCTTTAGTGAAATCCTCAAAATGTGGCAACAACAACAACAACAACAAATAAAATCTTCTTTGGAAAGAAAGACATACACAAATATATATGAAATTTCTATAAACTGATGGCCAACTACCTTGATCTCGAGCTACCGCTGTGGAAATATGCTTTATGTATGGGGATAATGTTATTCAGCGGCTGTCATTCAGATGTTGTACTAATACTGGGGTAGATAATTACAGGGAATCTGTTTTCAAAATTATATTTTAAAACATGGCTAATAATCTGTTGAGTAGAAGGACTTCATTTTTCTAGATTAAAGTAGCCAATTGGGGGGTGGTAGAAATCTTTTCCTTTAAAGGGTTATAAGGCACTTGCAAAGAATTTTTTTTTTTGAGACAGGGTTTCTCTGTGAAGTTTTGGAGCCTGTCCTGGAACTCACTCTGTAGTCCAGGCTGGCCTTGAACTCACAGGGGTCTGCCTGCCTCTGCCTCCCGAGTGCTGGGATTAAAGGCATGTGCAACCAACACTGGGCTACAAAGATGTTTTTGAAAATAGTAAGAAAGAACATCTTTGTAAGGGTCTAACTATCCACTGCAATAGGAGGAAAAAGAGAAAATAAAACCACGATGAATTAGTTTACTAGATCGTTTACAGTACCTTCTCTATGAAATCCAGGAATTGCAGAAGGCTGGCAGGTAATTCAAACAGCAAAGCAGTGTATGTATAGCATGGAGATAATTTCTAACCTTCAGGGATATACTTACTGTTGGAAGTAACGGCCCTCAGCTCAGCCCATACATTTATATGAGCCCCATAGTTCTCCATCTTTTGCCTGTTTATAGACTCTCCAAATCTATATATATATTTTTTTAAAAGCAGAAAATCATCAAACTATTGAATCTTGGGAAATTCTTGAAAACACTGTTTGCCAGTCCAAATACATCTGCAGGATATGATTTATCCTGAGATCTCCCAGTCTCCACTACTCTTCACTTGTAATCACGATTGCCTATCACCTTCCTTGACCACATGGCACGCTGAATGCCAGATATAGATAATCACATGAATTATATCAAATAAATGAGGAAAAACTCACTACTATTCAATGCTTGGTGAATAAATTAATAAAATATGCATTTTATGGGTGAAGGCTACCTCAGTGTAATCCCCCACTGGCACGTGACGTGTGAATCTGTTTCCACAAGGTGATTGAGATAGGAATGTTAATTTTACTGACACAACACTCAATGCGTCAGTGGTAAGAATCTCATTCTCTCTCTCTCTCTCTCTCTCTCTCTCTCTCTCTCTCTCTCTCTCACACACACACACACACACACACACACACACACATACACACACACACGGTAGCAGAAATCAATAGAAATCACTGTGTAGTTGTGTATCTGAAAGTCCAGGGTCCATATCCTTATAGATTAGCTCTTTATAGTTTCAATCTAGTATTTGTGTCTAGTAAACATTAAATGGTTTCCAGGGCTTAAGAGATTATGCCATTTGAAAGTGACAGAAACTGTGCCTGTATGACTCTTCTTATCCTTACCAAGCTCCTAACACATGAAAATCCAATGGGGATCGTCAATAGTCGTAAGTAGTCTTCGCTGTGTACGAATGAGCTTGTGTTAATGAGTTATAGAAATTCATATCGAGGAAAAGATAAAAATTGTTTTAGTTTTTTTTCAAAATGTATCTGCTATTATAGCGTGTGTATGTTTGTGGTAGGTATATGTGAATACAGGGGAGGGCAGAGGAAACCTATCAAGAGTTGGCTATCTCCTTACATCGTGGGTTCCAGCCAATGAACTCTG